ACTGGTGGCAGCTCCATTCATAGGCCACAAGGACCTGATTCTTTTTGCCAATGCAGGGATTGTCAGTGACCACTGCCTCTTAAACAGGCTGAATAAGGAGCACAGTGATTGTCCTAGTCTCCTCAAACAGTGGTGGTGGTGGATCCAGTACCCACTAGGCAATCACTATCCAATTTACTATGAGCAGCCCTGCCATCTACAGAGCCCACTCCTGTCCATCCTGACACAATGGCACTATGGAGCTAAGTGCCTCTGCCTTCAACAGACTGACAGCGCTGTAAACCAGATGAAGGCCCTGACCTGCCTGCTGCACAGCAGCTGTCCACGTTTAACTGGAGGAGCCCAGACATCCAGCCATGTCTCTGCTTTGGGGACTTGGAACTATTTATACCATATTGCTGTTGCTGCCCATGTCTGGAACTCAGCACATGCCACTGTCATCCTTTACATAAAATCACATCAGGAGATTCCCTCATCATCAACATTCCACCCTGCTCTCTGCTACCTGAAGCTCATCTGACAGCTGTTGTCACAGGCCTGTTGGGTCTGACAGCTGCACCTGGTGGGCTGGGAGGAGAGAGAACAGGTATTAACCATCCCAGCTGGCTGGACATCCCCTTTCCACCATGAGGCTTTGCTCACCATGGGTGTGGCAAGCTGCTTTTTAGTAAATTATTTATTTTTGACATGAAACACTGTCAAATGCCAGACTCTCTGAGAGACCCAGCCTCAGACTCAGAGGCTCAGTGGTGAGGAGCAGTCTTGTTGAATATTCAGGGAACATTGGGGCAAAGCCCTAAGGGAACTCTCTCCTAGTTTCCTCACATTTGAGTGTATGGCCCACCCCAGCTGTCTGAAGGCCTCCATCAGCCCCTGCCTCATGCTGCCCCTCTGTCTCAGAATCCCTGCATCTCCCTCTTCCATCCCACAACAAGATCTGGAACAGGTGGCCAGCAGGGAAGGACACCGTGGACCACATGGGGTAGACACAGAAACATGCACACTTGTCATGGAATGTGGTTCCATGCTGTTTCCTCACAGCTAATGTTAGACCTGTGTTTCCTTCCATACCCACAGTTACTACACTCCCTACTGCCATGATGCCATTTTTCTTCCTGCCAATCTGGGAAGGGGCCAGGCAGGGACCTCTACCTTGTAGTAAGTAAAAATAGAAAGATAAAATCAGCAAAAGAGGAAATGTATGTTTCAAACAATAAGAATGGTATATAAAATGTAACAGCATGTGATTTTACAAAGTTACAAAAGCACTTTTATAGTATTATATTCAAGATTTATCAGTTGGACACCATAACAAAATTCAGACCAGTAACTTTATTCTTCTATTGTTGGTTCTGAAAAAAGGCAATAAAGTATAGGTTAAATGGGTGGAATATCTCTGAAAGTGGAGACTGAAGTGATATCATGCACTGCCTTTAAGGGTTAATACTTACATGATTGAACAGCAAGGAAGATATTTTTCACTATATTAAGAGCTTAAAAATAAATAAAATGTTTCAATCATTAGAATATTAAAGTTAATGCATCTTAACCCCATCACACCACATTCCTTTGTCAACCTCCCAAATTCACCACCTCTGTATATGGGAAAATTATTTTTGCTTAAAACTATGCACACTATAGTATAATGATTTTTATTTTCATTATCTATTTTGATTTTTTGCTTTGTTTCAGTTTGTATGTTTTCAAACACATTTATTTTCCATTTATAATCAGATATAGCCCTATGACTTTATGTTAATTTCCATTGTAATACCTTCAAGTATGTTAATATTTGATTTTTATTTTTAACTCATTTTTGTATTTTTTATTTTTAAATACAGCACACGGATTTAATTATGATAATTTTGTTATATTTGTTTCTGTGTGTCAACATGACTTGCATGGTATCTGTTAGCACATCCTGTTTAACTATTACTGTAGTTCAAAGTATTTGAACAAAAATCTCTGTTGTGATGTATTCTCTTGAAAAACTAAGGTGAAAATGGAAGTCATTGAGATAATTTCCTTGGAATGTCATTATAATGGAGGAAGCTTATGCTGCAAAATCATTTTCCTTATTCCTTCCTGAAACACAGTGTGTTGGTCATACAGCAGCTAATGTGTAGCCATGAGCTAAGAATATAGGGAATGTAAGTCACATTATCAAGATCATGTCATTTTACACTCTCAGATTACCATATTAGCCACAGATCAAGTAATTTAGGGAGCTTTATTACATAGGAAAAATACCAATGATTTCGATAAGCCCATTGGATCAATTTTCCATATATGTAGGTTTATTCTTAACTGAAGAGAAACAATATATCCTTTTTATTTTGTTAGTAAGCACAATTGTCATCAGTCAAGCCCCTCATCTCCTACCCAGGTTGTCCCTTATGGTACTTTAGTCTCCCACAAATGAGGCATGCAGTCTCTCTGATATTAAGGAAAAGACTTCCCAGTGTGTGTACCCCTTTAGCTTCAACACAATCCTAGTATTACTTCAGGAATATAACTATGAGAAAGATTTATCAAGTAATATAGATAGCTTGTAGACTATAATACTATTTTAAAGTTTCTAAAATGATGTTTGCTGTTCCTTCTATCAGTTGTATTAAAAGACACTTAATTAAAATTAATCTAAATAAAAATAGCAGTTATGTTTACTTGCTCATGAATTCACTTTTGTAATTTTCTTTTTTGCAATAAACACATGTCTAGAGAAAGTAGTTTTCAAGATGTTTCCTAAAACAAATTTCCTTTAGCTTAAGAGATAGTAGTCTGAAAAACTAGAGAAAATAAGGAAAGATAATATAATTTTAAATAAATAACTGTGAGAGGGCATAATAACACTTGGCTGTTAATTGTGCATGCACAATTCCAGTAGTAATACCTGGCTCATATTTGTTCCATTATATGTATTGTTATCTGCAAAATAGTTGTTATCTTAAGGTAAGTGTTATAGCACAGTAGGTTAAGCTGACACTTAGGAATGCACACATCAATCCAGGTTCCTGATAATTATTGTGAGAAGCAGATACTGGCCCAAGTACATGGGTTGCTGCCATCTACATAGGAGACCTGGATGAAGTTGCTTCTTCTTGGCTTTGGCCTGGCCCAGCTCCAGCTGCAGCTCTTCAGGGCATTTGGAGAATGAAACTGAAAAGCTTCTTCTCTCTCTCTCTCTCTCTCCTCTCTCTCTCCTCCCTCTCTCTCCCCTTCTCCCCTCTCCCCCTCTCCCCTCTCCCCTCTCCCCTCTCTCCTCTCTCCCCTCTCCCCTCTCCCCTCTCCCCTCTCTCCCTCTCCCTCTCTCCTCTCTCCTCTCTCCTCTCTCTGTTCTTCCCTCTCTTTCTCTCTCTACCTCTCCCTCTGTATCTTTCTAACATCCTATCCTTCCAAAAATAAATACCTTTATAATAGAATATCCAATGTAGCCATAGAAACACTTCTATTTTATATTTTGTGCAGAAATTAAAGCTGAAAGCAGTGTTTGACATGATTGTTTACCTTTGTATAGAGTAAAATTGCTGTAATTTTCCCAGTGCATTTCTGTATTATTTAAAAGTCCAAGAGCATTTATCAATATAATTTTTCAAAAAAACCAGGAATTCAGGCACAACCCATGTAATATTTACAATAAATTAGTAATGGAAATGTTGATGCTGGCTTAGGTACTGAGAGTTTGTTGGGTTTTATGAGCTAAAAAGGGTGTGTATCATCAAGAACTATGCATATGGATGCTGTTAGGCTCAAAGAAAAGAGCTTATCCAAAATTTTGCCATTTGAAAAATTATTGTCTTTTACTTTAGGCCCACAATCTATATATAGATGACAAAAAGAATTCCTAAAGTGTAGAGAACATTTTTGCTTCAGTAACTTAAAATGAAATGTGTCAGATAAAGAGGACATTAGGGTCCTACAAAAGTACAGTTAGAAGACACCATTTTTCACAGAGGTGTGTTACTTTGAAGCACTAGGCATTGCAGTGAGATTTCCTCACCCTCACACAATCAGCTTTAAAATATGTTCTCTAATATTATTGTGCCTTTTATTTCAATGTGTGTGTGTGTGTGTGTGTGTGTGTGTGTGTGTGTGTGTGTGTGTTTGGGATGAGAAATGGTAATAAGGACTGATCAGTCTAGTGATGGTTCTCTGGGATATCCAGAGTTGATATTAAAGTCAATGGGATGAGTGAGGTCAAAATCAAAGAGGTGGAGATCAGTTAGTGAACAGATGCTTTACATGAATCAGAGCAATTCCACTTCTAGTTAGAAATCTAGCAATAATCTGGGTTAGGTACAGAGAAGTCATGGATAAGGATATGCATAACAGTGTTTTTATGATATCAAAAAACCATGGAAACAGCCCAAAATGTCACCATTGTTAGAGTGAACAAACTAATCAGCACATATTCACGTAGTAAAGACTGCACAGTGAAAGTGGATCAACAAGACGTATGTCTACTCTGATGAATCCTAAAAAGTATATTATGGAAGCAAGTTGGATTTGGCACCATGTGATTTTTTTCATAAACAAAATGCAAAATCAAAAAATATTAAACAATATCACTTAAAGAATGTTTATAGTTGGGTGGAGGAAACCTGACAGGCTGCCTCCCTGTGCAGGAGAGAACAACCCACTTAAAGAATGATTATCATAAAATCAAAGAGAGTGACTTCCACTGGGGAAGAATTGTAACAGAGAGGTAGGAAAAGGTTTCCAAAGTATAGTAACATTTAAATTTGTAATTTGGTTAGTGGATTCATCAATGCTTGCAATGCACATATTGTAAATTATATACAAAATATAGAACACTAGTATTGGCTCTCTTTTATTGTGTGTTGTCTCCTGGAATTTTCAGAGTATCAGGGACTACTATTACTTCATTTTATATAAGGGTAAATTTTGGTATGGTTACCTGGTCAAAGTCATATGGGGTAAATTATCCATGAATTCTCCATGAACACACAGGATGGCTGCTTTTGATTTATTCCATAACATTCAATGGACCTGGTAGAATATCTTTCACTGTTTCCTTAAGATACACCAAGGTGGTAAATTATATGGAATACTTGAGGGCAGAATTTGAAGGTTTTCTGTGTTGAGTTGTTCCACATGTATCAAATATGCAGACTCACTATTGTGAACAAAAATATTTGCCACATAATTAATACATTTTCAAAAACTTCTCTACCAGGAGATGATTTCAACATCTTCTTTCCACTTTTCTATTTCCAATTTAGTTTTCTTCTTCTCAGAGTACTCTTTACTTGGCTCTATTCATCCTTAAATATTATTTAATAACCTTTCACAATATTGTGCATAGTAACAAATTAGTTATAAAGATAACTTTTTTTTTATCCAAGGTAGAGTGGCAACATCTTGCTTAGCAGAGGACAACAAGCAAGTAATAAACAATTAAATTATAAAGATAGAAACTTTAGGTATAATTTATTTTTACATGATGAAACTAAGGCCCAGAGAAGTGGTACCATTGACATGAAATATGCAAATGATATGGTCAAGGCCTAATTTCTAACTCTGTATGACATAGAAATGTTTTGAACAACTTTAAAAAGTAGATTTTATTTTTGACTTGTTAATGAATAAGGATACCCCTTAGTTTCTCTTTACTCACACCTTTTCAAATTCCTTTCCTGTTACATTGTGTGGACCTTCACTTCAGAAACACTTTAAGCCACCAAAGGATATATGTGTTTGATATCTCATCTACAAAATCAGTGACAAAGATAACTTTGAATGATTGTCATCCTGTATATTCACATTAAGAATTTTTTGTTTGTTCTACTTAATAATATTGGTTGAATTCTGTAATTAATGCACAGTTATTCTTAAGTGTTGAAATTTAACTGAAAAGTGATCCATGTAAAATATAAGAGTGGGAATAAGAGAGGGAAGAGATGTACAATTTGGGACATGCTCAAGCTGACTTGCCCCAAATGGTAGACTTAGAAACATACTAGGGGACTCCAATTCAATCCCATCAAGGTGGAATGTACCAATGCCATCTCACTAGTCCAAGTGATCAATTTCTGTTCACAATTGATTGTAATGATAGGACTAAGAGTCAAAGGGATCACATAAAAAAGACTAGTGTCTGAAAATACTAACCGATAGAATAAAAAAGGGAGAGAACAATCCAACATGGGAAGCAGGATACACAGCAGACTCATAGAATGGTAGATGTCCTAAACAGCACTCTGGCCTCATAATCAGCCCTTAAGGCATTTGGATCTGGCTGAAGAGCCCATGAGAGTATTTTAGGCATGGAAAGCCAAGACGCTCTGGCAAAAAAAATGACCTAAATGAAAGATCTCTGCGAGTGAGATCCCAGTGGAAAGAACGGGTCATCAAAGAAGGCAGTACCTTTCTCTGAAGGGAGGGAGAAACTGCCACTTTGACTATGACCTTGTCTAAATATGATCACAGTTGGTGAACTCAAAAGGCCTCCATAGCCTTGGCAACTCATGACTAGAGCCTAGGGAGATTACTGACGCCATAAACAAGAGTGTCAATTTGTTAAGTCAACAACAGGAGTCACTGTGTACTTACTCCTCATGTAGGATCTCTGTCCTTAATGTGCTGTACATTGTGATTTAATGTTATAACTAGTAGTCAAATAGTATTTTTCACTTTGTGTTTCTATGTGGGTGCAAACTGTTGAAATATTTTCTTAATATATACTAAACTGATCTTCTGTATATAAAGATAATTGAAAATGAATCTTGATGTGAATGGAAGGGGAGAGGGAGTGGGAAAGGGGAGGGTTGCAGGTGGGAGGGAAGGTAAGGGGGGTAAGCCATTGTAATCCATAAGCTGTACTTTGGAAATTTATATTCATTAAATAAAAGTTTAAAAAAAGAAAATTAGGCAAGAAAAATGTTAGAAAAGTGTATACATACGTTTTGTGGATTAAGCAGGAAATTATTTGAAAGAAAATATTATGTTTAATTTGTAAGGATCAATTAATACATCCATGAAATAGCAAATTTGCACTGACAGTCTTGGTGAAAATTTGGGAAGCTGGAATCTCAGAGCTACTTGCTATATCACACTTTTTTTGAGAATAAAACATTGGAGTGGTGCACTAGACTATCTATTCCTCTGTCTGTGGCACTAGCATCCCATATGGGTGCTAGTTCTAGTCCTGGTTGCTCCTCTTCCAGTTCAGCTCTCTTCTGTGGCCTGGGAAAGCAGTGGAGGATGGCCCAGGTGCTTGGGCCCCTGTACCTGCATGGGAGACCAGGAGGAAGCATCTGGTTCCTGGCTTTGGATCAGTGCAGCTCTGTCCATTACAGCCATTTGGGGAGTGAACCAATGGAAGGAAGACCTTTCTCTCTGTCTCTCTCTCACTGTTTATGATTCTGTCCAATAAAATAAAAATCTAAACAAAATGAAAAGGAAATACTAAAGAAATAAATGAATGTCTCAATTTTTCAAAAGTATAAATGCACGCACTTTCTTTTTTAAAAAAATTTTTTTGACAGGCAGAGTGGACAGTGAGAGAGACAGAGAGGTCTTCCTTTGCCATTGGTTCACCCTCCAATGGCCACCGCGGTGCTGCTGGTGCACCGCGCTGATCCAAAAGCAGGAGCCAGGTGCTTCTCCTGGTCTCCCATGCGGGTTCAGGGCCCAAGCACTTGGGCCATCCTCCACTACACTCCCTGGCCAGAGCAGAGAGCTGGCCTGGAAGAGGGGCAACCGGGACAGAATCTGGTGCCCAACCGGGACTAAAACCCAGTGTGCTGGTGCCACAAGTGGAGGATTAGCCTATTGAGCTGTGGTGCCGGCCCACTGCACTTTCATTACAATGAAATACATAAAGCAGCTACCTTATGAAAGAAAAGGTTTAACTCAATTTTGGATACCCAATGTCCAAATGACATAACACAGACCCCTCTGGTAAGAGTCTGATGCTAATAGCTAAGCCTATATGGAAGAAAGATCACAGGGTGAGGAGGAAAAAGAATTGGAACAGATCAGACTTTTACAACAAGCTTCTCATGAAGACTGAAAAGGTCACATGGAAACAACCTTCCAAGTGTATCCATCCACAGGACCCCACTTCATAAAGTACCTAAGTTCCCTGGTAACACTGCTTTTGATGTATCTCTTTAAGTTTTATATTGCATATTCATTTTTTTCTATGAATATTTTGATTCCTCCTTTTTTTTTTTTTTTGACAGGCAGAGTGGACAGTGAGAGAGAGAGTCAGAGAGAAAGGTCTTCCTTTGCCGTTGGTTCACCCTCCAATGGCTGCTGCGGCATGCTGTGGCCAGCGCACCACGCTGATCCGATGGCAGGAGCCAGGTACTTCTCCTGGTCTCCCATGGGGTGCAGGGCCCAAGCACTTGGGCCATCCTCCACTGCACTCCTGGGCCACAGCAGAGAGCTGTCCTGGAAGAGGGGCAACAGGCACAAAATCCAGCACCCCTACCGGGACTAGAACCCGGTTTGCCAGCGCCGCAAGGTGGAGGATTAGCCTAGTGAGCAGCGGCGCTGGCCCTTGATTCCTCCTTTTGATTTATATTATGACCCACTCTTCATTCAGGAGCATGTTGTTCAGTCTCCATATATTTGAATATTTTTAAGAGATTCTTAAGTTGTTAATTTCCTGTCTTGCTCCATTGTGGTTAGATAACATACATGGTATGATTTCAATTTTTTTTAATTTGATGAAACTTGCTTTATGGCCTAGCATATGGTCTATCTAGAGAAAGTTACATGTGCTGATGAAAAGAATGTATATTATTCAACTCTAGGATGAAATGTTCTGTATAGATATCAGATACATTTGGTCCATAGTGTAGTAAGCTCTGTTTGTTGATTTTTTTGTCTAGTTGATCTATCCATTGATGAAAGTGGGGTGTCAAAGCCCCCCATTAATTTTGTACCTTAAGCAAATTGGGTATAGAAGGAACATTCCTCAACACCATCAGATGACAAGCCCACAGTCAGCATCATATTGAATGGGCAAAAGTTGGATACCATCAAATTAATGGAGGACAATATCTGGGGAAATGCTACAAGACATTGGCATAAGCAAAGACTTCTTAGGAACCACTCCAGAAGCAAAGGCAATCAAAATAAAAATAGACAATTGGGATTATGTTAAGAAGTTTCTGGGGGCGAGGATTGTGTATGATTTATTTTGAAAGTCATAGTTACAGAGAGTGAGGGGGAGACAAACAGGGAGATTTTCCATTCCCTGGTTAACTCCCTAAATGGCCACCATGGCCAGCACTAGACCAGGATGAAACCAGGACCCAGGAGCTTCATCCAGGTCTCCCATATAGGTGTCTTGGACCCAAACACTTGGGACATTTTCTACTGCTTTTCTCAGGACAGTAGCTGAAAGCTGGATGGGAAGTGTAGTAGATGGGGCATGAATCATTCTCATATGGGATGTTGGTGTCACAGGCAGCAGCAGCTTTACCCACTATGCCACAACATCAGCCTCACAAAAATATTTTTAAGTTTTTAACATCATAAGAATTTTTATTTGAAAATAACATATTCTAATGCAAGCCACATTATGTGCATATATTCAATAGTCTTGACCTTACAACTTCAAGCAGGATGAAATCTACCTAAGTTAAGAAAGCATACCATGGAATTACCATCACCTATATTTGAGGTTTAAAGTTATTTTACAGCCAGATGCAATTTCACAAATTGCATAAGTCTGATGAGATTATTATATATAGTAATCAAACATAAACTGTTACAGAACAATTGATATAAGTGTAGACAGATACATATGAAGGTAATAATTCTCCCATCTGTAATATTACAAAAGTTATCAGTAATTAACTTACATTATAAAAAGAAAAAAATTTATGCTCACAAAACAGAACCTTTACATGTAAAAATCTAGGATTGAAAACAGTAATTTGAGAACTACTGTTCAATCAAAATTTGATTATCATTGACTCAACCTTGTTATTTAAATGCACATTTAAAATAACTTTCTGAAGGTAAATGTTTATTCTATGCTAGGTACAAATAAAATCTTACAATACACTTCTGTCTCACAAGTTTACAGACAAATCAGTCAGACTGACCACACATCAGCCTGGTAAGTGTTGTCAAAACTATCTTCCCAGGGAACTACTGAGACAGAAGAGAAAACAAAGAGATCTCACCACAGAATATTGTATGAGGAATCCCTGGTTATAAACCAATTCAAAGAAGTCACTCAACATTTTTCAACTGAGTTCATCTGTATACACAGGGACAATGATATATAGTTCATCATTTACTGTTCTTGGGAGAAGAATTCATGTCCATTCACACTCACTCTGCACAAGGCACTGTTAAGGGCTCAGAGAGACAAAGCACATCCCACAGGGCTCCAATGTGGTTAGGGGGTGAAAAGGCTGAGGATCGCTGGACAAATCATCACTTCCAGTGAGTTCACTATCCCTATCCCTTTAATTTCCTGGCAAGTTCAAAGATTTAAAAAGTGTCTAAACCAAGTCTTATGTTTTGTCATGTATGTTCAGAATGGGATCATTGTGCATCAGAATTACCTGTAATGCTTGGAAGTGCCCAAGCCAGGCCTCACTCAAAGTTTAGTGCTTCAGAATCCTCTAGGAGCCTGGCAGTTCTGAGGCATCTTCCTAGTCAAGAGCTCTTTCATTTTAAAGGCTGCTAACAGAAATGCACATGCTTATTAATAGGAGTACACATATGTCCATTCAACTTGTATTTCTTACCATAAAACTCATCATGTGTCACAGACCCATTTAAAGTTCTCATTAAAAAGACTTCCAGTCAAAACAGGAGAGCAACAGCAAATGGTCCACAGCATTGCTGACCTCAGCTGGCAGAGGCCTTTAGGTGCTGAAACTGAACATAATCTGTATGTGTGCATCCTTTTCAGGGGAACAAAAGTGGGGCAAGCAAATCAAGGTTATGAATCCCTAACAATATTTTCAATATTAAACTAACCTCTAAAGTAAAGTCCACTGAATACGGTTACAAATGTGGTAAACTGACACAGCTGGTTCTCTGAATGGATGATTGTCCAAGGTTAGCTCATAGCCATGTTTTCATTTATTGCACCTATAACATGTGACAGATTTCACATCTGGGCCAGTTGCAGAACCTCAGTAAAATGAAAGTAATAGTGCTGCATTGCTATAGCTACTATTACATAAAAAATCAGAAAACTAAGCCTCACAAAGGCATTATTATTATAAAAGCTAGCACAAGTGTAATGTCTCAAAAAATCCCCATTAATATATAATTTTAACACTACACTTGGAAGAAATATTTAATATTAAAAGTAATTTTTTCAGAGTACACAACCACAAAGGAGAGTATAAGGATTTGTCATACAGATATTGTGTTACCTTAGGCACCTCACATATAAAATATGGAAAACAGTGCTACCAGAGGAAAATTTGACTGTTGCATTTGTTGACCCTGTCTAGTTTGAGCGTTTGTAGTTCACCCTAAACTCCCACATGAACCAACGCATGCGCTTCAGCCAATCGCATGCTCAGCCGCCCAGCCCCAGGGTCTGGGAAGAGCAACATGGAGGCTTCTCCCAGTGTGGAGGCCCTGACTGCACCTGGCACTGGGGCCATGAATCGACCTTTCGCGGACAAAACCAGCTTCCTTCCCCGTGACCCCAGGTGTACTCCGCATCCAACACAGGCCATCCCTTCTCCCGCTCACTGCAAGAGCCCAGACTCCTGCATGCTGCCCATGGCAGACATGGACCCTATTTGAAGGCCGCATTGGCGCCAAATTCGGAGGTAATGTATAAGAGGGTGTAGTGGGCCTGGAGCACAGACAGGGAAGCGGCTGCGAAGGCTGAACCCGGCGCCTTCTTTTGCTAAGAGGCAGTGGCAGCGCTCTCAGTGCATAGAGGCCACTCTCCTCTCTGCCCACGGCCTGGCCAAGCAGGAGGAGGGACCCTGACCGCCCCGAGGATCCAGTGCAGAGCCGGAACCCGGCCATCCTCCTTTAGAGGGCCGGGCCACTCACCTCCATGCCCACGGCTGGGCCAAGCAGGAGGGCGCACCCTGACGAGCTCTGCTGGAGGTAATGGCCACATCCCGCCTACCAGTTGCCACCTTTCCCACCCCTGTCAGCGCTGACATTTTTATCTCTATGGAAATGGTTGTGGCTGGGCCAGGTTCCTCTCCGGCTTCTCCACTTTCTCCTCTTGCTTTTTCTGTCCTCGTAGGCTGTTCTGTAGTCCCTCTTCCAGCACTTGCTGGCTCCTTGCCGGGCCAATCACCATGTTGTCTGAGGGGAGCATGAGGATAAAATATTTGTGACTTCTCCTTGGAAGTCTTCAAAGAAAGGTCTCTGTAAGTCAAACCAAGGGTAACTTTTCCCTTTCCCCATCACTGGTAGACATTGTTTTAGATAATGTTAGTAAAACAATAAAATCACACTTTTGAAGCTGTTGTAGATGCTCTCAAAAGTGCTTTCATACAAACTCTCAGCTCCACTGTGACACCCACCGGCATTTCTTTTCTAGCTAAATTGTTATTAAGCCCTGTCTTCTTGCTTTTGATCAATGAAGGACTTTTCATTTGCTTTTTGGGAGCAAAGGAAGTAAAGAGTAGTGATGTGGGGAATAAAATTTATTAATTTACACATCTCTTTAATCATTATGTAAGGTTCACACTTGAAATACAAGGTTAATAAGATCATACTTTCTGCCAATCCATGTATCATTTGTTCTCAAATAGTAACTCTAAAAATAAATATACCTTTGAATTTCATTCTCCACAAAATTTAATAGAAGTGTATGTATACATGATGCACATAAAGTGTGTAAATGCAGATTATATTTTAATTAAACTTTATTTTTTTCAATTAAATAAAAAATTAAGAAATATAATTAGGGCTATTGGTAGGTTTTAAGCATGGAGATTTTTATGTCAGATTTTTAAAAGATCACATAGATTGTTGAGACTAGACAGCAGAGGGTAAGTGTAAATGGTAATACCAGTTAAGAGATAGTAGAAGTTTTTCCAGGGAGAGCTGATGGTATCTTGAACCAGGAAGGAACAGTGGAGAAACTGAGATCCTCACTGTATTCACAATATATTAAAAAAAAACCTCAATCATAAGATTAGTGAGTGATTTTATGTTACAGAGTAGTCATACTTAAATATGACTCCTAGGTTTTTATATTGGGCTGGAAGGTGGTTTTGATTTGCCTGAATAAGGTAAAACATAAAGAGGAGTAAAGTTAGATAAAGTGGTTAGGAATTACTAGTAGAATAGGAAGTTGATAACTTCTGACTTCTTGGCTTATATCCCAGAGAGGAGTGGAGCTGTTCACTTCTCAGAGACATGGCATGGCACAGCATTCACAGCCTTGCCAGTGTTCTTGGTCTTTGTCAGCCTGTTCTTTACTGCTTGATGGCAAATCCACTCCCAGAGTTAGATCCTGATCCTGGAATGGCTTTGTTGATTTGGGCTTCTGTTTCCTCTTCTTCCAAACTCTCAGAACTGCTAATGGTGTCTGACACATAAGTATTGTCTTGTAGTGGCACATCTTCCTCTGCCTTCTGTATTCCAGCTGGGCGCTGAGGTTGGTTTCCCATGCATATTCTGTCCAGGAGGTTATAGGCTGAGTCAGGAACCACCTAGGCCTCTCTGTTCCTTCACTGGTATCTCTCTCTCACTCACTCACCCACCACACACCACACACACACACACACACACACACAAAACCTTCCTTCACTGATACATAACAGTGTAACATATACACATACCCTTCCTACACTGATAGATGGCAGTGTAACACACACACACACCCTTCCTTCACTGATAGATGACAATGTAACACACACACACACACATCCTTCACTGATACATAACAGTGTAACATACACACACACACCCTTCCTTCACTGACACATGGCAGTGTAACACACACACACCCTTCTTCAATGATAGATGGCAGTGTAAACACACACACACCCTTCTTCACTGATAGATGGCAGTGTAACACACACACACACCCTTACTTCACTGACACATGGCAGTGTAACACACACACACCCTTTCTTCACTGATAGATGGCAGTGTAACACACACACACCCTTTCTTCACTGATAGATGGCAGTGTAACACACACACACCCTTCCTTCACTGATAGATGACAATGTAACACACACACCACACACACCCTTCCTTCACTGATACATGGCAATATAACACACATACACACCTTCCCTGATAGATGGCAGTGTATCAGATCAGCTCCCATCGCCAATCTGAAGCCAGGAGCCAGGAGCTTCTTCCTGGTCTCCCATGCAAGTGCAGGGGCCCAAGAACCTGGGCCATCTTCTACTGCTTTCCCAGGCCATAGCAGAGAGCTAGACTGGAAGAAGGGCAGCCAGGACAAGAACCTGCACCCACATGGGATGCCAGCACTGCAGGCAGAGGATTAACCAAGTGAGCCAAGGCGCTGCCCCGACTAACAGCATTTTCAATTGAAAATGGGTTAATGAGTGAGAGCTTTGGTGGTGAGGGAGGTGGCGGCAGTGGGGACCAGTGCGGGGAGGGCAGAGGTCCTGCCTGGGCCTAGTGGCCTCCTCAGACCTCCAGCACCTCCAGCCCTGGCTGCAGCCCAGCCTTGCTGCCCCTTCCCGACTACACTCACCTGCTGCAGTGAGGATGAGGAAGCCAAAGAGGAGCCTGAAAGCGGTTGCAGGAACCCAGTGGGCTGCCAAGGGGCATCTGTGCCTCCGCTGCCCTCAGCCACTGCCACAGCAGCCGCAGCTCCATGGATTGATCAGCCCCGAACTGCAACCCCTCAGGGCAGCCACCACCCTCAACAGCAAGGTCCAGGGTGTGCACAGCCACCCCAGCAGGAGCTCCAAAGTGACTGCGACAAAAGGAGCTCAGTACCCTCGGGCAAGAGGCCCCCTCGCTCCCACTCCAGGGATGCAAGAACTACACCCCCCAGCCCAGCAGAAATGGCATCGAGCGATCCCATGGTGGCCCACAATGGACTGGACTGGACAAGGGCGAGGAGGAGCAGGAGGAGGTGTGGCTGCTATCTTTGTCCCTGACCTCAGGCTGCAGTTTAAGAAGCCCCTCAGGCAGGGAGGTTGAGCCAGGGGAGGTTCTGATGATAGGATAGGGTAGTTCCAATAGGAATCTGAGCTCCAGATGCCTGATGTGATGAGACTGAGCACCAAAGATCTGTCCGAACCCTACTCCATTTATACTTATAGAGATTTTATCCACAGCTGGCCATAGCTGCGCTTCTTGGCCATCATAGGGGAGGAGTGTGTAGGTGTCATCATTTGCAAGTTGGATATGCACAAAAAGATGTTCTGCAGAGGTTATATAGCCATGTTAGCTGTGGATTCCAAACCCAGGAGTAATGGCATGGGTACTAACTTGCTTAAGAAAGCTATTTATGCCATAGTTGAAGGAGACTGTGAGGAGGTTGCTTTGGAAACAGAAATATCAAATAAGTCTGCTTTGAACTTTATGAAAATCTTGGTTTTGTTCCAGATAAGAGGCTATTCAGATATTATTTAAATGGAGCATTTGTTCTGAAATAAAAGAGATTGTTTTAAACTTCAGGTGTCTTTTGGTATGAAGAAGATGTGTTCAGTTGATAGCCAAGATTTGTTTGTTAATTTGCAAAGTCTGCTGGCAATGCTATTTACATAGTGATAATTTTATCACAGAACCAGTAAGTGGAACACGGTTTTTGTTCTTAAAAAAGTCACCATAGGCCGGCACCATGGTTCAATAGGCTAAACCTCTGCCTGTGGTGCTGGCACCCTGGGTTCTAGTCCCAGTTGGGGCACTGGATTCTGTCCCAGTTGCTCCTCTTCCAGTCCATCTCTCTGCTGTGACCTGGAAGTGCAGTGGAGGATGGCCCAAGTGCTTGGGCCCTGCACCCGCATGGGAAACCAGGAGAAGCACCTGGCTCCTGGCTTCAGATCAGTGCAGTGTGCCAGCCACAGCAGCCATTGGGGGGTGAACCAATGGAAAAGGAAGACCTTTCTGTCTCTCTCTCTCACTGTCCACTCTGCCTGTCAAATAAATAAATAAATAAATAACCACCAAAGATGGTAAAGTCTCTAAATATATTAACATTTCACACAATACCTATCATAATTTCTGAAGGGGGTGAGAGAACAGCTTCAATTTTAGGTTTTATTATTATTTTTCAATATTAGATTTCCCAGTCTTGAATATTGGTACCTCATTGATTAGTGAATGAGAAAGTGTAGAATGGGGTATGTCTTACGAGTAAAGTTAATTAAGTTGTGCTGCCCAGTGCCTGTGTAGATAAAAATGTGTGTCTTCATCTTAGCTTTGAATGCATGCTCTTTTTCTTTCAGGATTTTACAAGCAAACTTTTGTTTCATTTAAATTCTAAATTTGGTAATAAATTATTTCAGGGTTTTATAATTTGGATACTTTTTCCAGGTGAGTGACAGAGTGGTTGACTTTAGACGTCCCTTCTTTCATTGCACTAAGAAGTTGAATCTACTTGGAAAACCTTTGAGGAATGGCCCCAAGGGGATGACAAAATTTGATGGAGGGCCAGTGCTGCGGCTCACTAGGCTAATCCTCCGCCTTGCGGCGCCAGCACACCAGGTTCTAGTCCCAGTTAGGGTGCCAGATTCTGTCCCAGTTGCCCCTCTTCCAGGCCAGCTCTCTGCTGTGGCCAAGGAGTGTAGTTGAGGATGGCCCAAGTGCTTGGGTCCTGCACCCCATGGGAGACCAGGATAGGTACCTGGCTCCTGCCATCAGATCAGTGTGGTGCGCCGGCCACAGCGGCCATTGGAGGGTGAACCAACGGCAAAGGAAGACCTTTCTCTCTGTCTCTCTCTCTCACTGTCCACTCTGCCTGTCAAAAAATAAAAAAAAATGTTGATGGAGTTGGGAATTACTTGGTTTTGGACTAAAAAGTCAAATGATTACCATATTGTTCCACTGGTTTATATTGAATATCAGCATATACCTTACATCTTTAATTGGGTATGTAAAAATTGTTAAGTAGCCTAAAATGTTCAGTTTTAGCATGATAACTCAGCACCAAAATTAAGTCTCCAAGTTGAGGCAAACATCAAATATTATTTTTT